CACGCCCTCACACAATGCGAGATGTCGTGATTCCACTATTGGTGCCCTTGAAGGTGGCGAGCGAACCTTTACAAACAAGATTGGGGCTATCTCCACAACACTTGGAGGCTCCCAACAACACCACGAAGCTTCACCACAATGGAGTATGGCTTCGAGGTGACCTCAACCGTCTAGGGTGCTCAACACCCAAGAGTAACAAGATCCGCTAGGGATAAGTGGGGGGAATCAAATTTCTCTTGGTGGAAGTGTAGATCGGGGCCTTCTCAACCAATCCCGAGCAAATCAACAAGTTTGATTGGCTAGGGAGAGAAATCGGGCGAAAATGGAGCTTGGAGAAACAATGGAGCTTTTGGGAAAGAGGTAAGTCAACTTTGGGGAAGAAGACACCTTTATATAGTGGGGGAAACAATCCAACCGTTACCCACCAAACAGCCACGCACAGAGCGGTACTACCGCTTGGGCAGGGCGGTACTACCCCTGATAAGCGGTACTACCGCTCCCTCCCAGCGGTACTGCCGCACTGACGAGGGATGCAGGGTCCTGTCCCCCGAGCGGTACTACCGCGGAAGTATAAGCGGTACTACCGCTTGGAGCGGTACTACCGCCGCTACTAGTACCGTAAAACCCGACACGAAAAACAGCGGACGAGAATCGAGGCGGTAGTAGCCCGGAACCACTACGGTACTGCAAGCGGTACTACCGCTCGGGGAGCGGTACGCTGAGGACCGCGGTACTACCGCTGGGACAGGACAGGCAGGCACAAATTTAGGAAAGATAGCTCCAATGAAGCGGAAAGAAGCATCGGGTGTGATAAGGATGTGTACGTGTTGATTCCACCCTAGCCTTACCAAAGCGGATCCCCTCTTGATAGTACGGTGACTCCTATGAAACTAGACCACCAGCGAAGAAACGAAGGAGCTACACCGTCTTGAATAAAACACCGAGGGGAAGTAATCGTCTCGTGCCAAAGGATGAATCTCTGAAAGAACTCAACGCACACGATTAGTCCGCAAAAGCATTGTCATCAATCACCAAAACATCTTGGGGATAAATATGCCCTTACAATAGGCTAGCGGACTGCCACGCGGGGGCTTCGGGTGGCTCGGGTGGTGCTGGACGGCGTCGAAAGGTGGTGCTGGTCCCTGCCGGCTGCTACGGGTGGCTCTGCCACCGCAGAAGTTGCCAGCGTCGGCGAGGCACTCCGCCACCGACACCTGCGCCCGTCCAAAGGAACCTGCGGCGCTCTGGATAAGGAGGGAGAACAGGGAGCAAGGCGCCACTGCAGTTACTAGCGAGATCGACGCCGTGCTCTGAAGAAAACGACACTGACAGCCGAACTGAAACACTGAACTCTGAATTTTACTGAAACTGAACAGCAACAGTGCATGCCAGGTGTTCGATGAAATGTTTTTGGCATGTGGAAGAGTTTTCTGGAGCTGATCTTTGGTGAGGTGGCCTCTCAATGCACCAAGGGGTGCCCTGATTTATCTCAGAAATTTTTGGAGAAGAAAAATATTGAATTTCACCAAAAATGACAAATCTGGCCCAAACTTGCAGTGAACAAAACTTGAAAAAATTGAACTGTGCAAGAGTGGATCTTGATGGATCTAGGTTGAGGGTGCTAAGGACCAGGCAGAGGAGTTGGTTTGGGATCAAGACTCAAAAGAAATCAGGTACTTCCTTTGTAAACCACCTAGGTCCAAAAATAAAGGCAGAAATAGTTTTGGAAATAAAATAAATTGAATAAAAATCAGAAATGGGTTGAACTTGCTAGGATTAGATATTTGACTTGACCCAAAGTGGAGGGAGGGATTTTGGAGTAAAGTTTTCAACCTAGGTCATGGCATAAAAATAAATTTTTGAATGAGGAAGGATCAATCCAAAGTCACTAAAAGAAAGTATTTCAAATCTTTTTCTCAAAAAAAAAATTGGTTGAGCCAACAAAATTTTGAAAAACCCTTAAGACTAAGGACCAAGGTTGAGAAGGTCCTTTCAAAAGTTTGTCATAAAAGATTTTGAGAGGGAGAGTCCCTCAAAGAGAAAAATTCAAATAACCTCCTTTAAATCAAATAAAGATTTTAATAAAAATCCAAGTCAAAATTTTGGGGTGTTACACACCCCGACTGGTTATCACGTATTGGCTTTGACTGTAGTGGCTAGCAGCCCTGGTAATGTTCCTGTAGACCACGGTACAAAACCTGCAGCTCCCCTATTCACCTTTTCCCTTCTTTATTTGTTTTAGTTGTGCGTGAATGGGCTGGCCCGATAAGCGAAAATGGTTTAGCGAGACATCGTAAATCCTCGCTGAGCGCGGGAAATAGTCGCCGTGCTATATGATCACCTATGTCTCACTCCTATGTCTCGCTTATAACTAGACAGAGGGAGGGGATGTATCTGGTGCACCAAATTAATTGGTGCTATCGATGCACCGGTCGTCCGTTGCACATTAAAAAATGTTCAAAAAATCCGGAAAAAATAATGCATTGAGACAACATGAATTTACGTTGTCACAAAAATTTAAATCAATATTCAAAACACTGCTCGAGATACAAAAATAACAAATTTGACACTGAATAGTACATAACACAGTAGGGCTTCAGTTTTGGCCCTTTAGCACATAGACGTCAAATTTGTCATTTTTGTATCTTGAGCATTGTTTTCAATTTTGATTTGATCTTTTGTGACAACATACATTGATGTTGTATCTATACACCAAAAAAAATTCAGAATTTTTTTGAACATTTTTTATTGTGCAACGGGGTCCGGTGCATCGGTAGCACCAATTGCTTTGGTGCACCAGATACGTTCCCGATAGAGGGAAGCCTCAAGTTAGGTGAGCGCCAAATGGGCAAGCCCAGCCGCGTGAGAGGCGACGACCTTGTTTATATGTTTTGTATTTATTTTTTTATTTCGTTTTCTCTTTCTACTTTTACTTTCGTTTATACTTACAAATATTCTAAGTAAACATATTTAAAAATTACAGAATTTTTTTAAAAAAAGTTAACCAAGCATTTTAAAAATGTTGAATAGGTATAGAGAAAATGTTTCACATGTGTACGAAAAATGTATACAAAAATATACAATGTGTGTGAAAAGGTCAATCGTGTATTTAAAAAATGTTAATCAAGCAATTGAAAAAATATATTAAACAACTATTTGAAAATGTTATTCAAGCATTTGAAAAATGTTGACCATGTATTAAACAAGTATTTGGAAAATGTTAATCAAGCATTTGAGAAAATTTAGATGCACGTACAGAAAATGTTGACCATGTGCTCAGAAAGTGTTAACCATGCATTTGAAACATGTCTAATGTGTATAGAGGAAATGTTTCACATATATACAAAATATGTATACAAAAAATGTACAATGTGTGTGAAACAAGTTCATCGTGTAACTAAAAATGTTAATGAAGCATTTAAAAAATGTTGAGTGTATAGAAATTTTTAACATTGCATTTATAAAATATTAATCAAGCATCTAAATAATGTTAAATGTGTATATATTTTTTGGTCATCTATTAAAAAATTGTAATACTGTATTTGAAAAATGTTAATCAAGCATTTGGAAAAGTTTAAAAGTGTGTATAACAAAAATGTTGACCATGTATTCAATAAAATGTTAATCTTGTATTTGAAAACTATTAATCAAACATTTTGGAAATGTTTAAATTTTGTATAGAAAGAATGTTGACCATGTATTAAAAAATATTTAATTTATATTGTCAAAATGTTAAACATGCGTTAGAGAAAGTTCTGGACATACACCATAAATGTAGAATGAAAACGAAAAAAATGAAAACCAAAAAGAAATGAAAATACAAGGAAAAAAGATAATAAAAAATAAAACCGAAGAAACACGTGTAAGAAAATGCAAAAACAGTGAAAATCGACAAAGAAACAAATAAAAATAAAAATAACGATGCAGAAAGAAAAATTAAAGGACAAAAGAAGGAAAATGAGTAAGAAAAGGAAAAATGTTAAGAGAAACATAGAAAGACAAATAAAAAAACAGAGAAGAAACAATAAACACAAACAAAGAAAACAAAAATAAACCCGGAGGAAACTGGATTAAAATGAAGAAATCCAGTAAAAACTGAGAAAGAAACAAAAAAAAGCTGGTGCAAAAAGAAAAACAGAAAAAGGAAAGATTATTGCGGACAAGAAAACGTTGTTGGGACTGATAGTGCTCCCTATTGGGCCGGCCAAGTCGGTGTTGTGGGTGACTCGCCCATGGCGCTTGCGACGGGCGGCAATACGGGGGTGGTTCTCCAGCGAACCTTTCATTCGTGCCGGGCTTCTGGCTACCTCAGAATCTGACATCCGCCTCATACCTTTCGTTTTGAGATTTTGAAAAGAGTTGCTCTTTGAAGAGCAAAGTACGATAAAAGCTGTAACCTGTGTTCGGGGTGGGGAGCTGGGGTCATTACGGAAACGCTGTGCATGAGGCCATCAGAAGCTCACCTGGCTCACCTCAAACATGTACTGCCACCATAAAAAAAATATATAAGAGCGTTTTAATCACTAAACCGGAGGAAGTGCTCCTTTTGTTTCGAATGCTCTGGCATTTGTACATGCGATGTTTGTGAAGGCATCCAAACTACCACCGCAACCAAGCAGCAAAGATCGGCATGCACAGCAGCAGCGGCGCAACTGAGCAAGCACCCCCTAACTGGGCCGGCCACAGTGATACTACATCGCTTTCTTGTTCCTCTTTTATTACGCACATAGCAGTATTACTGTCTACAAACACCTTGTGGATCACTTGACATCATATACAGAGAAACCGGTCTAGCTTTTGTCCCACAGAGCTTCTTATGGCTAACGCTGACTGACACCATGCGTGTCAACATCAAACAAACTATAGTAAAAAGAGCAACGGTAGCTACATATGCTACGTACGTACGGTTCTCTCCCCGGACTGGATTTGGATTCGGTGTCGTTAAAACCTAAAAGAGGCCGGCCATGCATGCACGCATGCACGCAGCGAGGGCTTTGGCTTCACTTGCTGCTGCCCTTGCCGTGGCCGTAGAGGCGGAAGAGGTTGAAGGCGGAGACGAGGGCGATCCCGACCATGGTGGCGCTGGCGGCGACGGCGCACGCAACGCCGCCCCCCGCCTGCGTGCAGAACCGCTGGTATAGCTCGCACGTCTTCATCCACTGGAACTCCACCTGCCCGGTCTTCCCCAGCAGCGCCGCCTCCATGGCCACCGCCACCGCCCCGATTATCACGTACGCCATCACCTGCAGCACAGCTTACATTTTTCAGACTTTACTCACAGTTTTATCTTTTTCCCCCTCAAAGTCCAAAAAACATTTTAAATCAACAAAATATAAAAATTGGTCAGCAGTGGTAGGGACTTAGTATTTTTGTGTGTACTCCCTCCGTCCTTTAAAGAGTGTACTTCCAACTTTGTTGGAGGGTCAAACTATCTCAATGTTTGACCGAGTTTGTTCAAAAATATATCAATGTTTATGAAACCAAATATGATGAAAATAAATTTTATCATGAATCTAATGCTACTAATTTGATGGCATAAATGTTGGTGCATTATTGTATAAATACAGTCAAACATAAAAAGGTTTGACTTTTCAACAAAGTTGAAAGTACACTCTTCAAAGGATGGAGGGAGTATGTGTCAGTAGTAGAAGCAATCGTGTCGAGCTCGTGAAGCTGGTCGTCGTCCTAGTAGCAGACTGAAAACAGGTTACTCCGGATGAACAGTGCAAGAGTACCACGATGTTTGTTGGGGGAGTTCAATGGTAGAATGAATAGGCAACTGAACAACCCAGGGCTTGGCCTCACATTAATACCACCATGTGGTGTTTATGATGGTGCTGAACTTGTGATCTCCCAACTAATACCAGCATGTACTGTCCATCCCGGGGCTTGCTGAATCCAGACAGCAGATGCACATGCTCACATTTGACCGCGAGAGACCATTCCTTTGTCGAATGAGAGTGGTTTTTCTACACCCACTCTTGGTGTACCCACGGTGCACCCATGCAAGAAAACATACCCAAACCTTTTGAAAAAACCTAAAACTTTGTAGGAATGATCATCAACAAATGTTAGAGAGGCTTGCAAATTTTCATGGTCATATGACATCCGAGGAGCTCTATACAAAAAAGAAAAAATTACTCAAAATGTACGTGCACTGTTTAAACAAAATTTGTAAATTTGTTTTTTTTGTATAGTTCTCCTAGAATGTCATTTGATCACCAAACTTGACAAGCCTCTCTAACATTTATTGATAATCATTTCCACAAAGTTTCAGATTTTTTCGAAATGTTTTGGTATGTTTTCTTGCATGGGTGCACCGAGGTGGGGTTCAGCCACTACTTTCTCTTGGCAACATCTTATTTCATACTTGCACCATCAATACTATTGTATCTCTATAGTGAGTAGTGCATTTTTTAGGAACCATGACAAGGACATAAGTAAAGGGTCATTGCAAAATGCATCACATCCCTGGGTGGGCATTGAATATGGTGTGTGCATCTTAGCTATGCAAGGCCGGGTGTCACTCATCATGATTTGTATCCTCTTGATGCTACATTTTGAGTTAGTAAAGTGCCCTTTATCGAAAAAAATGATCGAGCAACCGCAGACGTTGGGGGTCTCAATTAAGTGTGTTTTTGCTCATAATGATTTGACAATTAATTTGCAAGGAACATACCAAAATGTGGCTATGTGTTGATTGTGATATATGACCAGATGTACGGACAAGTTATGATACAAACAGTACTGCAGCAGCTAGACGAGATCGATGTGACCTGACGATAGCCCAATCTATAATTTCTAGGAACAGAGGAGTGCCCCATATGCTATAAATGCAAAATTCAAGCAGTAGTTTTCCCCTTTTTTTTATCAAACAAAAAAAAACTTTCCCTTTTTTTTATCTCTGAATGGTTAGTATGGACAGTAAATGTTATAAGTCTGATTTTCTCCAGCTGTAGAGCAAAAGAAAAAGAAGTTCTCATGCCAGTAAGTAAATCCATGCAGTTTACTCATCTGGCAAATGCATGAATTTTGTGATAATCTAATTATTCACACAGAAGGACCTCTGTTGA